CGGGTCCATTGAGCGCGAATGGTTGGTGCATGGAGGGCATGCCAGCTGGCTCCGGGTGGACATTTCTATTGATGAGGGCACACTTTCTTGCTGGGTCGCAGTATAATCCTTCCTACCCAGTGACTCCCACAGCCAGTCAGGACAAATTAAGACCCACTTGCTATTGGTGCAGTGGCCGGGGTCCAGCGTTTGGTGGGGTACAGTAGGAATGTTAGATTTGGGTAGGTTTCCCCAAACTTTGTGCTGTTACTTTCTCCTCCAGCAGCTCTGGGGATTGTTTCTGGCCCAGCACCGGGTGGATACTGTAGCCCCTCAGCACAGCAGCCCACCTGCAGCTCTGTGGCTCAGCCGGAGGAGCTGGTGCTGTTCTTCGAGCAGGCCTGGGGGTTCCTGGAAACCTCGGGCAGCCCTTGCCACCTCCCTCCTTGGCTCCTGGAGCATGGCCACAAATGCCTCCCAGGAGGGTGTGTCAAGTGATAAATGAGTTTTCTCTACCAAGTTGAGCTGAGGGCTTTGGCCTGGCTTTACGTCCCCAGTGACCGTTCAGAGGAGCAGCGGCCTGGCTCTTCAGGCCTCTGTGCCAGCGAGTACAGGGCTGGGCTGGCAGACACCTCCCCCTGCCTGGCACCAGGCTCCGCCATGACTGGCTGCTTCAGTCTCCTGTGTTGGAAGTGTCAAGAATGTGGTGCGTGGGGGATCCTCAGGCAGCTTCGCCGCTCTCTCCCATTCTTTCAGACTGTCCTTTTCACAAGAGTTGAATCTTTTCAAAGTTGCTGATATTACCCAGCTCTCTCTGCCATGAGACATAGAGACAGAAAGCGGCCCCAGAGACATAGAGACAGAAAGCGAGAAATCACCCCCCAGAGGGGATGGTCACGCCGCAATCCCTTCTCCATTCTCCTCCCGGGATCTTGGGCACACACGCACACGCGCCTGGCGTGAGTTTTTTAAGCCACCGGGTCTGGGACGCGAGCCGCGGTCGACTACATGGGAGTCCAGCGACATAGCCATTACGCTAACTGCTGGTTCCCGTGATTTGTCTTTTTTGTTCTCATCTCTAAATGTCATAGATCCAGGCACTACTGTTCTGGGTCTTCTCATTGGCTATTGGTAATTCTTCCCGTAGCTCTGGGTCAGGGAGGCAGACGGGAGCGTCTTTCTCTCCCCGTCTCTCTTTCTTGTTCACTCTTGCTTTGTTGCCCCTGCCTGGCCCTGGACCTTGGCATGGTCTGGGGGCTCCAGGGCCAGGCTGTGGCTCTGTCCTCAGGGAGATTGGTTTGCAAACCTGTTTTAGACTTTGGGAGGCCCTGGCGTTTCGATTCACACCTTGCAGTGTCTGTGGCCTGTTCTTGCTGCCAAAAGCGTGTTCCGTGCAGCCTATTAACTTATCTGTAAGTAGATTTATTCTATGAAATATTCATTGGAGCGGGCTTCGGGAGCGCAGTGTTTGGAACAGTGTGCCAAGTACGGTTTGTCCTCATGGATCTATTAATGCTGACGGGACGCACTTGCCTTCTGTGCATGGGGTGAGGTGAGCCTTGGGGAGTGAGCTGGCTGCCGAGCCCACTCCCCGAGCTCGAACACGCGGGCATGCTGTGTGTTTACACGCACGTCCAATTCTGTTCTCCCGCTTTTAATGGTTACAGAGGCTTCCACATCCGTGAGAACCCTCTTGACAGCTTCCAGCTCCTTACCTGATTCCTGCTTCCAGGGAGGGTTTGGAGGTGTAATGAGGTGCACAGGGAAAAGCTGCTCATGTTTGGAGAGGGGATTGTGAGGAGGGGGCTGGGGGACCAGGAGCAGGGAGGCAGACGGGAGGCTGATACTGAGGAGTGGGTGCAGGGGGCAGCCTCGAGCACAGGGCTTGTCCAGTATAGTAGGAGGGGGGTGTTGTCATCCGGTCTTAGCCACGAAGCAAGGAAACTCAGAGGTTCCTAACGTGCCCCAAGGACTCTGCCTCCCATTAGTAGACCTCTATTGCCGGCCTGTGGTGAGCCGGGGCTGGGTGCGGGGCCTGGAGTAAGCTCAGCATTGGCCTCAAGGGGTGCCTGCCTAGCAGATGGAGAGACAGAGGCCCGTGGAGTGAGTCAGACAGGAAAGTGAAGCCCTGTGGCATTGCACAGGATGGGCCGGAGGGACTGTGGGAGGCTGGGAGGGTGGAAGACCGAAGGAGTTTGTCAGGTGGGAAGAGCCCGTGCAGACATACGAGGACACGGGACGGGGACACGGGACGTACAGGTGTGGCTGGTGGGCAAGGTGGGTGGGCAACTACCTGGTCAGTTCTTCCCAATCACAAGAGGAGGCTGGGGCAGGGAGGTAACCAGAGCCTGCTTGCAGCCTCACTAGCTGGGCCTGGGAATTCGAGCTATACCCAGTGGCTGTGAGGAGCCCCGGGAGATTTGAAGCCAGAGAGCATGATGAAGGTGATTTGAAGGGTGACAAGAGGCTGTTTAGAGTGAGGTGAGGAAAATCTGTTAGAAAAGCCACAGGCGCGGGGCGAGAGTGCAGGGGCGAGTGAGGAGGGGGTGTAGGGGTGAGAGACTGTCCTTTGTATGTGTGCTGAGAAATAGCAGGACCTGATCCAGGTTCCCCATCTCAAGCTGAGAAATCACCAAAAAAAAAAAAAAAAAAAAAAGGGAAAGTCTGTAAAATACAAAGAAGCACCCAGAAAAAGGATTAGCGAAAGCCGTATATTGGAAGAGCCCTATCAAGGCACTTTAGAATGGCTTTTATAAAGAGATACAAGGTTTAAGGAGTTACATAAAACAAGTTTCAGGGGATGTTGAAGACCAAGATTAAGAATTAAGAACTTTTCTAAGTTTGGGAGTGTTTTAGAAACTTAAGGAGCGCTAAGGACAAAAGCAAACACTTATGTGAACTCAGACAAACCTAAGTTTAACTTACATAAGGGAAATGTACCGGAAAGCAGGGAAGAGCACCAGGCTGGTGGTTTCCCACCACTGCAGCCAGGGCCTGATGCCCGAAGCTGGAAAGCTGAGGAGGTGTAGGAGACTCCACCAGGTCGGGGAGACCAGACGGAGCGAACCGAGTGGGTAGAGGGAGCGGGCAAAGGTAAATGACGCATGGAGCCTACCTGTTTGAGCATCTCAGGTGACCTGCACCTGTGCTCTCTCCCGCTGGCGGGGCCGCTGACAGTGAATCAGGCCATCCGGTGTTCGGGTGTCTTTACCTTTTGCTGCTGACACCTGCCCAGGTCGGGTCTTGAACTGGGAGTCTGTTGTGGGTGATAACTTGGCAGGCGGGTCCTATCCCATCAGCTGTCAAAGAGGGCGATGGGAGGCAGCCCAGGAGGTCTCTCAGGTGGCCGAGGAAGAAGCAGGAGGAGCACCCAGGCTCCTGGCCGATCGGGAGTGTGGGGAGACTTGATGCTGAGGCCCACGTGCTCCAGGAGGACTGTGCACGCAGTCGTGAGCAGAGTGCTGGGGCGATGGGTGTCTCCGAGGAGGCCTGCGTGGGGGCGAGGGGAACTTCCCACCTGGAATCGCATCCGACCAGGACACCAGCTCAGGGTCCCATCGGTGCCCTTGTCCACGCTCCTGGCTGGTTGTGCTAGTGTCTCCCTTCCTTGATGGTAGCTGTTGAGGGAAGAGGATGAGCTGACAGTGAAAATAATGCGGGGCTGGGAATCTGGAGACTAGATCGAGTTCATATATATATATTATATATATTTTTCCTTAGTTTTCACCATAGGGCATATGTACTTGTGGGTCAGGGAAGGGGAGAGGGGGGGGAAATGAGAAATCACCCCTCAGATGGATGGCCATACCACAGTCCCTTCTCTTCCAGTCTCTTCTTGGGATTTTGGGCATGTGTACACATGTGCCTGGCATGATTTTCAAGCCATTGGGTTCAGGACTTGAACCATGGAGTTGGCCATGTGGGATTCAGTGCCTTATCCTACATGTCACCTGCTGGCCCCAATTTCAAGTTCTTATAGTTTATTAAAAATTAAAAAAAAATATTGGCAGAGGGCGTAAAAGAGAGAAAGAGAAATAGAGAGTGACCTCCCCAGTGAGGTGTGGTCACACTGCCATCTTTTTCTTCCATTCTCCCTTCCCATAGGGTTTTGGGCATGCACGCACACACGCCTGGCATGTTTTCAAGCCACTGGGCCAGGACTCGTACTGTGGTCAGCCATGTGGGATCCAGATTCCCTACCTTCTAGGCTACAGGTTGGCCCCAGGTCAGGTTCTGACTGTGTTTATCGCGGGTGCCTTTGGGTAAGCATGACCTCTCTGAGCGTCTGCCTTCTTGCTTGTGATTTGTGGGGATGTCTGTGAAGTCCGGGAGACCACTGCGTGTGTGAGCGCCTCATAGGCTGTAGCGCTCTGTGCAGCTGCTGGCACCTCTGGCCTTCCCAGGGCTCTGAGGGAAGTGGGCCCGGGTTACCCCTTACTGCTCTCACGGTGCCGCCTGCGAGTCCGGGACACTTGGAAGTGCTGGTTGAGCTGGTAGATGAATTCACCGCGGCACGGAGCATTTTCTGGGTTCTGTTTTCACTGGCCAGATCCTCTCTGCCCACCCTCTCGGATGGCCTGTGGATGCGCATGGCGGTCACCCAGCACCCACTCATGCCGAGTGTCCTGAGGTCCAGGGCATGTGCTTTAACGAGCTTCAGTTGCTGGGCACTGAGCTCCTTCTGGGTGTCCCAGCTGAAGTTCCAAAGCAGAAAGCAGAGTGGGGACATCCCCTTTCCCTGTGTCTCCCCCACTTCTCTGTCATGGCACACCCTCCTCACAGGCAGGCTTGCATGCTCCCGTGGCCCTAGCCCCACAGCCGGCCCCTGCACTGCCTGGGCGGACTCGCCATCGTTCCCATCTCTGTAACTCTCCATTGCTGCCCTCCACCCCTGCCCCCGCTGTGGGCCAGGACAGATGCTGTCTGTTCTGCCTCTGTGGGCCCAGGTGTGTGCTGGGGGTCTGGGGTGCAGGGCGAGAGTCCATTTGCTGACCCTGGTGGCTTTCCTATCCCTGCTCCAGGTCATCTTCCATGATGTCGCCGTGCTGACGGACAAGCTCTTCCCTGTTGTGGAGGCCATGCAGAAGCACTTCAGCGCTGGTTCGGGGACCTACTACAGCGACTCCATCTTCTTCCTCTCAGTCGCCATGCATCAGATCATGCCCAAAGGTAACCAGGGCCGCCCGGACCTGGGCCCCGGGGGTGTGCTTTGGCACCTATTTCTGTGACTCCTACACTCAGTGCCCTGCAGCAGAGAGCTCCACCGAGGTGTGAGGGAGAGCCCAAGGAGCCAGCTGGGCCCTTAGTACAGCAGAGTGTCCCACACAGAAGCCAGGGCAGGCCTGGGTCCTGCAGCCCAGGGTTGTTTGGGAGGACTCTGAGCTGTGCAGTGTGGGGCCCCTGGGCTCCAGCCCTGACTCTGCCCCTGCCCCCACCCCAACCGCAGACTTAGTTTGCTCAACTGTAAAATAACAGACTGGACTTGATACTCCTCCATCCCAGCTCGTGGTCCTGTTCTTGTAGTTTGAACCTGTACTTACCTGATTTAAAAACATCAAATATCGATGGACAGGTGCAAAATGTGACCATGTAGGGCTTTTTCAAAACTCGGATGCACAGTCAAAAGTATCTTCTGAGCTCCTGTCCTGGGGAGATGCATTCAGTAGTCTGGTCTGTGGTCAGCCCAGCTTGGGGGAATGGCAGACAAGTCAGATCATCGCACTAGAAGCCTTGGAGGGTGTCATTTGGGGGCCCCACCTTCTGGGTTCTCTTCCCAGTGATCCTTGCTTGGTTCTGGAGCCCAGCTCTTGCCCAGTTCCTCGCCATGGTGAACCACGGCCTGCAGCTCTCAGGGCGAGGAGGTGTGCTCTGGGGGGCTGTCGTTTGAACTGAGGCTGGCGGACTTCTCTGGTGGTTTCCAGACCAGGTGGGGCCTGATACCCAGGGGACAGTTGGCTCATTGGTGGAGGAGGTTGCCCTGGCTCAGCAGACCAGAGGGGAGGGGCCTGGTCAACCAGGAACCCAGAAGCTGAGGTTTGAAGTTGACTTCCTGTTGGCAGGTAGGTCAGCAGGTCGTCCATTCTTCAGGGAACAGTAGGCCATCCATTTTGACTGGGGTATTCTCTCCACAGGCAAGTGCTAGCTCCGCAGGGGCCCTGAATGCTCTCTTAGTTGTTAAGCCTCAGGGGGCCCTCCGCTGAGCAGGGGTCTGCAAGAGAGAGGGAGGGAGCTGACTTGAGAGGGTGAGGGAGCAGAGACAGCATTTTTGATCTTTCGCAGTGTGCTGGGTTGAGCTGTCAGCTCACCGAATCCTCCTGCCAGTCCTGGGAGGTCAGAGGCAGAGGCAACCGAGGAGCTGCCTGACCTACCCAGGGCCACACAGCCACTGACCTGGCTGGGATTCGAACCCAGGGCTGGCTGGCTTGCAGGCCCGCTTCTCTAAATAACAGTTATGTTCTGCCCCATCAGGTGGCCCATATGTGACTTCCTGGGTGGGCTAGTGCAGGAGCTGTGGTGACTTGGACTTGAGGAGATGTGACTCTTGTTCTTATGGATTCTAGGAGGAGATGGCTGTGGGTTCTGGACCCAGCTCTACCACTAACTGCTCGTGTGCTGTTGGCTCAGTCACTTTGTCTCCCTAGGCTTCAGTTTCCCCAGTGAGCCGTGTCAGGTTGCTTTCTGAAGGGTCCAGGGCTCACGGGAATTCCTCTAAGGGGAATTTTGTAGTCCTGGAGAGTGCAGGAAAGAGGAGTTCTCCCCTTGTCTCACCTCTCTCTCCTAGCCCCCACCCACTCCTAGCCATCTCTCTTTTCTTATATAGATAGATAGAGAGAGATGAATGGGTGGATGGGTAGATAGCCAGAGGGTATTGCACTTAATGGGGGGTAGAGAGAGAGAGAGAGAGAGAGGGAGAGAAAGCACCCCACAGTGGGGCATGGCCATGCCCCAATCCTTTTTCTCCAGTTCTCCTTGGGATCCTGACCATGTGTGCACATATGCTTAGCCTTTCTTCCAAGCTGCTGGGGCCTGGATTTGAACTGTGGTTGCCAAATGAGATCTAGTTTCCAATGCACAGTGCTTTACTGCTGCACTATGGGGCTGGACCCTCGTTGTCCATCTTGATCTGCAGTGTATATCAGTCTTCGGGGTAGAATTCGATTTGGTCAGAAGTTCCATGCCTAACAGTATGTGGTGGTTGGGCTAGACGGACCTGGAGGCCTGACCAGTCTTCTCCCCTCACATGGGTGACTGGCCTAGAATGCAATGCTGTGATAGAATGCAATTGCCAAAGGCCAGCTGGAGACCTGAGAACAGGCAGCCTGGCTCTCTGCCACCAGCTGGCAGGTCCCTGCCCAGCCTGTGCTGACACTAGGCCAGGCTGTGCCTGGGGTACCCAGAGGAGGTGAGATGTAGCACTAGGGGATTGTCAGGGATGGGAAGAACTACCTCTGCTTCATAGCTATTGGGAGATTGGGGCAGCGAATTGTGAAGGCCAGAAACAGGAGTGAGGGAGTTCCCAGGCTGCCTTCCCCATGGCTTTCTAAATAGGAGGAGTTTCCCAGGAGGGCCGCTCTGCCCTCTGTCGGCCCCGCCTGTAGCCTGGCACTGCTCAGAGAGTGATGTGTGCAAACAGCAGACTTCGGCCGGAGCTTTGCTGTCAGTGCAGAAGGTAGGTTAGGATGTTGGTGTCCTGGGTGTGGGCCACGTCCCTTGGCAGGGCCTGTGTCAGGAGTGAGGAAGGAGTTGTTTAAGATGTGCTGAGGCAGACTCAAACACCTAGTCTTTTCTTGAGTTCTTTAGGTAAATAATAATGTACTTTCAGAGATTCATTTTTGCATATGCCCACGAGTTACTTCTTAATGAAAGACTTATTAGGATTTACTAATATTTGATAGTCATAAAATAAAACAAGCAATGACAGAGGGCCTGATAGTGGTGCACTGGTAGCCCAACAGTGTGTGAGGTTGACCACATGGAAGGTTCTGGGTTCACATCCTTCCTGAACGTGCCAAACGTGCATATCCATGATCCTAGCTGATGAGGCTGGGGGTGGATTGTGGCATGCAGACCCTGTTGGGGGTGTTCTCCCTCGCTCTCTGCCTGTTTTGCTCATAGAAGAAAGAAATAAATAAACTTTAAAAGCAAAGCAAAGCAAAACAAAACAAAACAAGCAGTCCTAGAGTTTCCTGTGGCTTGGGGTGTGTCCTGCTAGGAAGTCTTGCTGTTGCAGAACCCTTGGCCTTACTGCCAAGTTCCTCCTGGGCTTGGAATGCCTGCGATTTTTGGATGGATCCTTTCTTTTTAGACATCCTCAGCGCTGTCTTGAGTTTGGCATGATTTTTGGTGCTGCCTTTTTTTTGTTTATTTTATTTATTTGTATTTGTTATTTTTTTAGAGAGACTTTTGTTATAGGACATGTGTGCTCACTGCAGAGACAGAGAGAGAAACAGAAGGCGAGGAATCACCCCATAGGGAGAATGGCCACGCTGCAATCCCTTCTCCATTCTCCTCCTGGGATTTTGGGTATGCACACGCATGTGCCCGGCATGAGTTTTTAAACTGCCAGGTCTCGGAATTAAATCATGGTCGACCAGGTGGGAGTCCGGGAATGTAACCATTATGCCATCTGCTGGTACCTTTTTTATGTTTATTCTTAGAAGTTGTATTATTATTTTGTTCTGTGCGTTGGTTGATGCCTTGTTCTACGGTGATTGCTGCATTCTTGCTATTTGGGTCATTTTGTTTGTTTCCCGGCATTCTTTTCTCTCCTGGAAAGTGAGAATAGTGTGTGGGTGGGGCCTGAGCCCTTGCTCCTTCTGGGAAGGCTGGGTGGAAAAAAACGCCTGCTCCTTTGATGTGTTTCAGGGGTTCCTAGCCTGTGTGTGCCCCAGAAATCCAGGTATTTCTCTGTGTCGAAGCCCCTCCTCCCCCTTCCTTCTTTATAGCTTAAGGGTAACTCTTTTGTGCCTAAACCACCCCTTTTTTTTTTTGGAGAGGTTTTCACTATAGGACGCATGCACTTGCCAGCCAGACAGAGAGAGACAGAAAGACAGAAAGCGAGAAATCACCCCCTAGGGGGGATGGTCACACTGCAGTCCCTTCTCCTCCATTCTCCTCTTGGGATCTTGGGCACGCATGCACACGTGCCCAGCGTGAGTTTAAGCCACTGGGTCTGGGACTGGAACTGCAGTTGACTACATGGGAGTCCAGCGACATAGCCATTATGCTAACTGCTGGTCCCCCTAAACTACGTTTAAAATATGTCTACTTCCTTTTCTATTTTAAAAGTAACACTCATTTGTAAAAACATATCTGATCGCAACATTACAATAAAGTTACTCCTTTACTACTATATAAATATTGTTAGTAATTCTTTGATTGTCTTCTAGTAGTTTCCCAACAGGTAGCTTTTTAAAATTTAGACTGTTGTAGTTAACACCCCACGTCACGTTTTCTGTGTCCTTACGATGTTTGAGAATGTTGTGAATGGTCCCATTGAGGGCATAAACCTTCATTCACTTCATCATTTCCCTGTTTTCATCTAGCTAGATGACTTCTGATATGTTTTCTTTCCTTTTCTTCTTTCGCTTTGCTATAGGGTGTGCACACTTGCCAGAGAGAGACAGAGAATGAGAGAGAAGGGAAGTGAGAACTCAGCCCCCGGAAGGATGGCCATGCCACGATCCCTTTTCCTCCATTCTCCTCTTGGGATTTTGGACATACATACACACATATGTGATTCTTTTTTAAAATTTTTTTTTTGAGAGGTTTTTGCTATAGGGCATGTGTGCTCGCCAGAAAGACAGAGAGAGACAGAGAGACAGAAAGTGAGAAATCACCCCCCAGGGGGCATGGCCACGCCGCAATCCCTTTTCCTCCATTCTCCTCTCGGGATCTTGGGTACGCACGCACACGCACCCGGTGTGAGTTTAAGCCACCAGGTCTGGACTCGAACTGCAGTCGACTACATGGGAATCCAGTGACATAGCCATTACATTAACTGTTGGTCCTGATGTGATTTTTATTTTTTTAAGAATAATTTTATTTAACTTTTATTTATTTATTTTTAATTTGACCAGAGAAGGACAGAGAGAGAAAGAGAGAGAAAGTAAGAAAGCAAGCTGCCAGGTCTGGGATTTGAACCATGGTTGGCTATGTGGGAATCCAGT